AACTGATGTTTTCTGAATAATTCCCCAGAAAGGCATGGGTGGGTGCCAAGGCCAGATGACAACCCTTCCATGGAGGCATTTTGTTCAAAGAGAAGATTTTCATTTTTGATGAGACTGATCTTTCAAAACCATTCATGACTCTTGTTTGCAACAAGCATATAAGACTTCCTGATTATCAAACCAAAGGAGGGAAGAGAAAGATATCCTATCCAACACAGATAACAGCCAAGATGGAGAGAAGCCACATCTGGGAAACAGTAGGTGCACGATAATGAGTGAATGTACAAACAGTAGAAAACATATATGAATTGATGGTCTGATAAACTCTTTACCGCAAAAAAGAATGAGTATCACTGAATTAACTTGTTATAGATATTAATGACTAGGGAGAAAATCAAAGGCCCGTGTCTATGCTACGTCGAGATCACATTCGTACAAAACCGACAAGTACCAGACCTCCCAGCTTCCCCACACTATTACGAAGGTGAAAAAGGCAGGTCCTACCCTTAGAACAGTGGGTCTCAAACAGGGGAGATTTTGTGCAGTCAGAGGCTTCCAGCAATGTCTGGAGATATTTCGGAATGTCTCATCTGGAGGGGGCAATACTGGTATTTGATGATGGCGGCCAACGGTGCTGCTAACCATCTTAAGAGCACAGCCTCCCTGCCCAACAAAGAATCACGCTGCTCAACAATCAACAGTGCCGAGGGGGAGAAACCCTCCCTGGGAGTCACCCTCCCTGGGAGTCCTGCAGTCACCAGCACACAGTAGATGCTCAGTAAATTTACTGCTGGGTAAGTGGGAGGTGCACAGCTTCATTTTCAAAACTCGCTTTGCTTACAGAACACAACAATTCTCTTTCAAGTAGCTCCACCTTTCTAACCTTGTTATGTGGATTTCTTTTCTTTGTGTAACTAACCTTGAGCTATCTACTGAGCGGCACACTGCGGGGTACAAAAATAAGACAGGTGATGTCCTTGCCCTCAAGGGGCTTGGGTCTGGTGGGGAAGAGAGATGATTAAGTGTGCGATTCTCACATGGGGTGGCGGGTGTCAGGACAGAGATACCCCAAAGGCAACTGATGGCGGTCATGTCAACAGCTGACATCATTAACTAATGAACAGTATTGAGCACCTGCTGTGTCATAGGCACTGCTTTTTTATTTTATTATGTTCTGTTAGTCACCATACAATACATCGTTAGTTTTTGATGTGGTGATCCACGATTCATTGTTTTCATATAACACCCAGT